ATATTTATATGCTTTTTTATAGTTAGAAACATTAGGAGCAGGAAATACAAGTAATGATTGAAGTTTATGATGAATGGGCAGCAAAGAAAATGGGAATTGAAAATATTGGTCAAGTATGTGTTATGATACATTCTGGGTGTCGCAGTCTTGGACACCAAGTGGCAACTGGTATTATACTATTATATAAATATTGTATTCTATTATGATATAAAATGTGGGTAAAATTGAATTTTAATCTCAATATAAATACCTGTTCTTTTAAAAATATAAAAAACATTTTATAAAAGACTGTCTTGCTTAGTATTTTTTACTGATGGATAAAATTCTGAGTGGAAAATTCTCCGTAGGTACATACTAGTCCGATCAGCTTTTGTCTCTGATAAATCTTAATATGTTGTGAGTCATGTTGATGAGTACATTTATATCATATATATTTGTATGTCTATAGTTCAGATTAAAATGCTTTTCCATATTTTTATGGGGGGTCGAATGATATTCAATGTAAGCACATTATTTCGTGTATTATGTGTACTTTTACAATTTAATTAGTTTTTATGTTAATATTTCATGATTTCACTTAAATTCTTTTTTATTTTTTAAGAAATATTTTAGTGACTTAATTTTATAAAATAATAAAATATAAATACAATGTTGGTTGCCTGTTGTCGAAAAATTTTAATTTCTATAAATTTGTTACTGATATAAGAAGTTACAACTTATAATTTGTTATACTTGCATACATTATATGAACATTTTGGAGTGCATATTTCAACTTTTTAATGCATGTTCTTTGTCCAATTAAAAGACATATTTAGTGATTGGGTGGGTTTCAGTGTATCTAATTTCAGTCTCATAGAACAGTTTTGTACTAAAAAATTATTTATTTACAAGTATTAAACCATTGAAAAAAGTAAAACTGATATTTTCAAAAAGTATATAGAAAATACATGGGTATAAATAATTGTTGATAAATAAATACATTTGAATACTATAATAATTATAATTTATAAAAATAAACCAAGTAGTAAATAGTATGATTTCAATGGAAAGAAAACCTATTTAAGACATTCTTTACTTAAGATGCTTGGGTAAATCGAAGTTCAATGACATTTTCAGCACGTCAAGTATGTATATTGACAACAATATTATCAATTTATTTATAAATAATTAATTTTTAAAGGCTTTTGCATACAATTCAAATTGACTCCAGATGATTTAGACATGCACGTCATATACTATGATGAACTCATAATATTGCTAAAATGGAACAACATTATATTGATGGAAAATCCAAACACTTATTGGTGCACAGAAAGATATTAGAAACATAGGTTTATAGAAGTTATTAGTTACTGTATTTTGATATGCTATTTGTTTAACATTATTTTATTCATTGTTTCAGAGAACGACAAAGAACTTTACTCTTAGATTCTGAGTGGAACGATGAATGTATTGATTTTACAATGAAGTGTGTTTTTTTTTTTTTGTTTGTTTCTGTCATCACGTTTTAGGACAGTAAAAGTGCTTGTATTTTCTTCAACAGTAATTTTTCTGATAGGAAAGTGAATCTAGTTAGTACTGTGGGGGGTCAAAAGGGAAAATTTCACAGTAGTTTTCAAAAGCGGAGTGAAAAACAACATAAAAATTAAGGAAAAACGGGAATTTTTACGGAAAATCTGGTTTCGAGAAATTCGATTTTAATTTTTCATGCAACTCTTAAACAAATGTTCGTGGATACATGAAATTTTGACTAAATGTTTATATTAGCATTTTCTATACACAATAACATTTTCCAAATATTTTGACTTATTTTGAGCTCTTTACGGACATTTTCATTTTCCATTTTTTTAGTTTTTTTTCTAAAAATATCAATAAAATTTTATCTGTTGGTTAAAAAAGCTTGAAAATTTAATACAAGACTCCTACTATATTGTCACGATGGTATTTGAAAAATATTAAAAATCCTTTGTCACAGTTTTTTTTTTATAAGCATTTAAAGTTCAAAAATATGGAAAAATCATGAAAATTAGCAAATTATTTTGAGTTAAGGATTTGTAAAAATTTTTCTTTTTAAATCTAAGGTTTTAAAATGTAATATAAGATTCCCTATAAAATTATCCACCTTTATCAAAAAGAAAAATGCCTATAAGAAATTCAAATTAAATTTTTATGAGCGTTTGAAATTCAAATTTTTAAAACATTGGATATTCACTCGATTTCTCATGTAGCAATTTCCTTATTTTGTTGTAATTCAAAAACGAATAACTGTAGATACATGCAAAGTTCACTGAATATTTATATTAGCATTTCCTATACACCATATAATTTTGAAAATATTTTGACACTTTTTGAGCTGTTTACGGACAACAACAGTTTTCAATTTTTTTAGTTTTTTTTTTCTATAAATATCAATTAAGTTTTATCTGTTGGGGAAAAAAGTGTAAAAATGTAATACAAGGCTCCTGATATATTGTTACAATATCAGTTGAAAAATATTAAAAATACATATTCACAATTTTTTTTTATAAGCATTTAAAGATCGAATTTTGACAAAATTTATCAAATTTAAAATTTAATAATTATTTTGTAGTTAAAAATGTATAAAATGTTCAACTCTTATATCTAAGGATTGAAAATTTAAAACATGATTCCACATAAGTAGTTAATTCTGTTACCAAAAAATCTAAAAAATACATAAGCACAGTTTATTTTTAAAGTCAAGTTAAACTTTGGACAAAATTACATAAAAAAAAACCTAGAATAACTATTTTAGTTATTTTGTTGTGATTGTGTAATATTATTCGTGAATACTTGAAACTTCTAAAGTCCACTATTATATATCTATGGAGTATGGACTATGATAGTATCAGTGTTTGTTGTTGACGTATAACGCATTATAAGTACCTAATGGATATTGTGTTATGATTAATTTGGAATTTATTATATTTATACCTATTTTAGGTAAATTTTTTTTAGTACGATAGATAAGTATATAATATTATAGTCTTATACCTAGACTGACATACCGTCTCAGAATTGTTTATCTTATACAATGATATTATATTATTGAATTCAAATTTAATACCATCCATTATACAGTGACCCACTTGTAACCTACTGTACAGCAGAGCACCTTTTTATACTCATGATTTATGTTCAATGTACAAAAATATTATAATATTATCATATTATATTCTATAATATGTAACCATGAGTATAATATTCATTTCAAAAATTTAAAATGTATTAAATTAGGTAAATGCTCTGGTAAATGTATTAACTATTAATAAACACATATATATAATTCTCTACTTTTTCAGTTTTCAAATACAATCGTTCTAGTAACATAATATGTGTTCGAACACGGACGCGTTTTCTCGCATCCGTAGTTTCGGCATATGTCTCCAAAGCCGCACCTAGGATGACGAAGCTCACGAGGTGGCTTACCCCCTCCTGGGCCGTCCAGCCCCGGGCCGTTCTCCGCCGTAGGCTGTAGGCCAGCAGTCGTGTGTATTTTCCAGGCGGTCGAGCCCGACGCATCGTTGCGTTCGCTCGCCTTGTTTCACTGGGTTTTGGCGACCAAACAGCGTGTACCTACAACCGTCGGTTTCTGTGTTAATTCGTCGCGTTGTTATACCTCGTACTTTGTGTCACCGGTATATCATTGCGTGCCGCCGCTTATACATTTGCGTGCCGCCGCTGGCTTGTTGCCCATCCATCAACATCCATCAAGTAGACCGATCATCGACGGCGGACCAGGTCAAAAAGCGTATCATAACATTGTAATTGATTTAAGTGTATTGTTTGTTTTGGGGCGCTCTGTCTGTTAGTAATTTATAATATCTTGTTTGATGTACCTAAGTTGTTTTTTTTTGGTAATGTCCCCAATGCATTTTGAGCTAATTTCGTTTCATCATTCGCTACCTCCAGCCGGATTTTCGTTATCAATACCCATATAGAGGGATGGCAATGTCCCATTAACTTTGAAAATCTATGATTCCATAACTCAGTTTCATTATTAATCCGATCACCGTCGTTAAATGTGATATTATGGACATTCCATACGTGAGGTGGAAATAAGGGTGGACAATTCCGCAAGCGTATGCAATTATCTTGTGTCGAGTTAATTCTCCTAAATGTACCGGTCACATAAGTGTTGTCAAAATATTCTAATAAGGCTGAACCTTTTTCTAGCATTATACTTTTTAAGTATACCATTCCTTCAGCTACATCACATAATGGTAAAAATGCTAATGCGTCCAATTGTCGGAAAAATACAGAAAATTCTTCGTCCTATTTATAGTCATTTATTTAATCCTATTTTTTTGAATGTGACGATGTGTTGCTTGTGTTCACTTATAACCGTTTTTATTGCATTTATAATTGCTTTTTCAAAATCAACATGTACGTACATAGGGTCAAGAAAAATATTCTTCTCTGCACATTTTTCCAGTAAACAGTTTAACATACACTCGTAAGTAGACTGGATTTTTTTAGTGAGCAAACAATAAACTGCAGTAACAAAAATACCATTAATTTGTATTCTTCTAGTTCCGCGGTGGCAGCCAACTGATACGCACGTATCTCGGGCTCCCGCTCTTCCTAATTACCTAACTAGTGAACGTCTAGTTTCAATGCTTAGTTGCGTTAAACGTATACTAACAGTGTAAACTTCCGTTACTATAATAACTTTGTTTTCTTTTATTAAACTTTCCATGCTCAACTGCCTGTTAGGCAGTGCGTATAATATTGATCAAGTGAGAAAACGCACTATAGTTGTTAACACGTAAGCCGTTGTGTTACGTAACTGCTTCATTGAGGTTATCTTATCTGCCGACCACCGTCAGGCGGTCTTGCTACATATATAATTACAACCGTCCACCGCCGCTCGCTCATTAATTATTATGCCGACAACAAAAACCGAACAAAACACCAACACTAATCTACAATACAAACCCAAGGCAAATACGTATAAACAATCAGAAACACAAAACTCTGAGATGAACAACCCAGGTCACAGCACCCAACGCAACATCACTAACCGCCCTGAAAATGAAAACTGGACTACTCAGAAAGGTAAAAGAAACCTTTCAAGTTCATCATCTACCTCTTCCACCTCCACTTCTAAAAAAACTGCTCAGCCACAAACCAAAAAACTATCTTTCTCAACACGCAATCGCTACGAACCACTTAAGGTCACCGTTCTACAGACTCGGTTTTTGACGCAAGCATGATAGTTGAAAATCCCAACATCCCACCCCGTGTCAAACCACCTCCCCGATCTTTATGAAAGGAATAAATGACTTTCCTGGCTTCCGCACAACTTTAATTAAGTTGATAGGAGTTGGTAACTTCAATTGCAAAGCCACCAAAGACCGCTTAAAAATACAGACCGCCAATCCCGAATCTTATAGACTTCTAATACATTATTCAAAAGAACATAACGCTAAATACCACACATACCAACTCGCCGAGGACAAACCCACGAGGATAGTTATCCGCAATCTCCACCCTACTACGCCAATTGAACTAATAAAATCTGAACTCGAGACGCGCCTCTTCGAAGTCAGACAAGTTACGAATGTCCTACACAAGACCAGCAAGCACCCACCCCCGTTGTTTTTCGTCGATTTAGAACCTACCGAACACTCTAATCAAATCTACCAGTTATCTTCCCTTATGCACACAAAAATTAAGGTTGAAGAACCATACAAGCCTAAGTTAATTAGCCAATGTCAAAATTGCCAAGATTACGGCCATACCCGGGCGTATTGTGGTTATTCAGCACGCTGCGTCAGATGCAGCGAGCATCATCCATCTTCCGAATGCACTAAGTCGCATGACTCCCCTGCCAAATGTGTATTATGTTCCGGAGATCATCCAGCCAACTACCGTGGTTGCAGCGTCTACAAGGAACTCCAACGCCGAAAAACGCAGACCAATAAAAGTAAATTTTTACATGATACTATCAATCCAAATGTTAAACCTTATAATGTAAAAGAAAGCCACCCACTCGCTACCCTTGCGGAAAAGAATGAATCTAATCCCACAAAAACTTATGCACAGGCCACAGCTAGTCAACCACCTGAACCTTCTGCTCCCTCCGACCTAACTCAACTCATGTCCTCCTTTGTAGGTGAACTAAAATCTCTTATCAACCCATTAATTGCTCTCCTGACACAAGTTATCACTTCACTCCTAAACAAAACAATGATTAATTCCTACACTAATAACTCATTATCTATTTTACTGTTTAATGCTAACGGCCTAAAAAATCATGTTAATGAACTCCAGACAGTACTCTTTGACAAGCGCATAGATATCGCCTTAATATCAGAAACTCATTTTACCAAATATTCTCACATTTCCCTTCCAGGTTATTACCTACTAAAATCTAACCACCCTGACGGCACAGCACATGGTGGAGCAGCTATACTTATTAAAACTAACTTAAAATTCTATCCTCTTACCAACTTCTCTCTAAATCATATCCAATCCTGTGCCATCTCAATCACACTTAATAATATTCCTGTTGTTATTGCAGCAGTCTATAATAGCCCTCTCAAGCACCTTATAACAGACACTAATCTCACCGAATATTTTGACACATTTCCTAACAACTTTATTGCGGGTGGTGACTTTAATGCTAACCATCAAAGCTGGGGCTTCCGAGTTACTAACCCACGCGGCAACCTTTTTCATAATTTTACCAATATTAAAAAAATTCAAATACTTGCACCACCTGATCCAACATACTGGCCAACATCGCGCAGGAAAAGAACTGATATTCTGGACATATTTGTTTCAAAAACTCCAAGTAATTTATACTGTGCTGTAAACAACATTTTAGACTTAAACTCGGATCACTCATCTGTAATACTAAATGTCGATGCGACTCCTCAAACAAATCCAGTTAGTCACTCTCTTTTCTCACCATCAACCAATCGTTATACATTTCATAACATAATTGCCCAAAAAGTTGATCTTTCAATTAAGTTAAAGACCAAGCACGATATTGACGAAGCAATCAATAACTTATCCAAACTTATCCACTCAGCAGCCTCAGCCTCATTATCCAATACCTTAACCACCTCTAAGCACTCAATTCAGAAGCAGACTCCCCTTCCTGAACAAATACGCTCACTAATTGTGGAAAAACGTAGAGCCAGAGCAGTTTATCAACGCACGCGTATGCCGTCACACAAAAGCGCTTATAATAAGTTAGCTAACTTCCTAAAAAAACCCTAGCTAAAAACTAAGCGGATACACTAGAACAAAAACTAACCTATCTTTCATATTCTGACGGTAGCTTATGGAAAGAAACCAAGAAGTTACTTAGTTTTAAAACTCCTTCTACCCCTTTAAAGAAACCTGACCATACACTTGCTTCTTCTGATACCGATAAAGCCGAAGTTCTTAAAGCACACCTTCAGGAAATCTTCTAGCCACATCATAACATATTCATACCCCAATTTGTTGATGAGGTAAAGGCTAGTTTAGTCCTTCCCTCAACCTCTAATCATCTTGAAAAACATTTCACGCCCAACGAAATCAAACAGGCTATCCTAAAATACTCCTTAAAAAAATCGCCGGGTTTCGACCTATTAACGGCAGAAGTAGCTAGATGCCTCCCCAAAAAAGCAATAGTACTGGTAACATATATATTTAATGCATGCCTAAGACTCTCCTACTTTCCGATCCTTTGGAAATTCTCAAAAATTATATTATTTCCTAAACCTGATAAACCCTTGGACGACCCATTTCTCATACAGACCGATAAGTCTCTTGCCCTTCTTATTGAAAATTTTTGAAAGACTTATCCTCAAATGAATGACTCCATATATTGTCAGAAACAATATTCTTCCGAACACTCAGTTTGGATTCAGACCCTCACATAGTACCATTCATCAAGCGCATAGGATTGTCGATGCAATATCTTTCTCGCTGCAAAAAAACTTTACTGTACCTCCGTATTTCTTGATGTATCTCAAGCGTTTGACAGGGTCTGGCATGACGGATTACTGTACAAACTCAAAAGTTTTCTTCCCCACCCACTCTTTCTTCTAATCAAATCTTAATTAACCGATCGTCACTTTCAAGTACATTATTGCTCTGCATACTCAGAAATAACCAAAATCAATGCTGGAGTCCCACAAGGGGGCATCCTATCTCCAACTCTATTCAACATATATGTCACCGATCAACCCACCACTCCCCAAACCATGGTGGCTGATTATGCTGACAATAAAGTAATCTTATCAATTAGTGAAAACTCGGTAGCCGCCTCATCAAACCTGCAACTCCACCTCAACCTAATGTCTAACTGGTACGACAAATGGCGTATCAAAATAAACCAAAACAAATCAAGTCACGCTACATTTACTCTCAAGAAGGGTATTTTCCCAACTGTTACATTAAATAACATCCCAATTCCCACATCGGACACAATAAAATACCTGGGACTCCATCTTGATAAACGTCTAACATGGAAAAATCATATACGAACCAAAAGACTGACTCTCAACGCCCGTATGCGCATCCTCAATCCTCTAATAACGAGAAATAATAAAACAAATCTGAAAAAGTTAAACTTCTAATCTACAAAACCCTCCTAAAACCTATTTGGACTTATGGCATACAGCTCTGGGGCTCAGCAAAAAAATCCAATACCAATAAAATCCAAGTATTCTTATTACATAAAGCTGCATAAAATCCTTAGGTGACAAAGCAAAATCACCGTCCATATACCATTCATTAGACTTGAATAAATGTTGAAGTCCTTCGTCGGTTGCAAAAAAAACCAACCTATCTTCGTCACCATCGTCAACCAAAAGTTTAATATGAAAAAATGGGTTTTTAAATTTATAGATTGAACTAAAAAAAAAAATTAACCTCTAACATCTACTCTCAAGTTATTTAAGTTACTATTCACACCCAAAATTACTTCTATCTAACTAAGTTATTAATTTGGTAAATTTTGGAAACTAACTTATATTCTAACTTAGTAGCTTTTTATATTAAAGTAACTTAACTTAAACTAGTTAAAAAAAGTGACTAACTTGCCCAGCTTTGCATATGAGTTATAGTCTTATAACCTATTCTGTTGATAAATATCTAATATATATTATACATATAAATATCTACCTATTTAATTAATAGTATTTCTAAACCAATTATGTTTGGGATATAAGGTTCAACTTCAACATTGTTATCAGACTGGCTGTGAAGTGCTGTAATACGTTACAGCATATAAAACACATAAAACAAAGTTGTCTTTTTACATACTTGTATGACAAACAATAGGAGAAAGACGAAAGTAGTTTTAAATACAATCGTTCTGGCGACATAATATTTTTTATTCATTCCAACTTTAATGTGCAAGGCACATAACAAGGTTAGGTATCACCACACAGTTTCGTGTATTTTAAGTGTTGACAGTTCAACTCACAGTTTTTCTGTTTATAAAATTAAAAAATATATGATTAAAAAATTCAAGTACATTTAACTTGATTATCCGATTTACAGCCTCAAAACTACAGAAAATTCATCAGACTGTGGTAAAGATAAATACAGGATGATTCTTTTACCATGAACCACTCATATTTTTTTTAAATATTTTAGTATAGAATATTAAACATATCTACTTGATGTTCAAACCTTTTACATGGCATAAAGCACTATATTCGACACTTATGGCCACATTTTAAAGTGCGATTGAATGGACTCTAACATTTAATCTCATTATTATTTAATCCACATGATACACTGCCATGTACATGTCCACACGGTAATTTTCTTTCCATTTTAATTGAACAAAATGCACAATATTTTTAACACATCTTTTGACATTTGTAATTCGATTTGCAGTTCTTTACAAGGTTTTATGCATTTATGGTGTGGTAAAATTAATAAACAACAACATTATAAGTTATAACTATATAATATTAAAATCTAAAAAATGTTTAAAAAACTAACACAACCTTTTCATGTTCTAGATCATTGTTTTTGTGGCAGTTTTGCGTACACACATGACTGAATTCTACCACCAATTCTAACACCAATTCACACCACATAAATGTGAACAGTTTGGTTTTGAATCATGACATTCTTTTATAATTGTATAACCACACTCTTTTAAGGTCGATTCCGCCCAAACTTGGTAATAATAATTAAATAAAAACAATAATACTACAAAAATTAATTGAAATAAGCCTAACGGTTTTTTAACTGCAAT